CGACTACAAGTACAGAACAACTGCCTGAACGGACTCACTTCCTGGACGACCCTCGTCAACCTTCAGCACCTTGACATTTCCGGCAACGACGTCGATAGGCTTGATGGTCTCGCTGAGCTTGTGCATCTCCGCATACTCAAGGCCGACAACAACAAGATCAAATCCCTCCAAGGCATCCTACACCTCGATGGTCTGATGGAGTTGAGTGTTCGTGGTAACGAGATCGACATGGTTGACTTCACCCGAACGAATCTGTAAGCATATGAACTTGAACATTCCTTGTTCCCTGCTAATCCGTGCGATAGAAAATCTCTCACAGACCTGGATATGCGCAAGAATCGTTTGGTTGAAGTGCGGAATCTGCATTGCATACCTCAGCTTCAGCATCTCAACCTTGGTATGTCTTTCCTTGCTATACTCATTGGACCAATACTGACTCTCAGAAGATGACAACGAAATCGAGGAGTTTCCCCTTCTTGATGGACCTCTGAAGCCATGCAGATTCCTGCGCTCGATTCGTATGTGCCGAAACGGAACAACACTCCTCGACGTCGACCAGTACTTCCCCAAGCTTGAATCTCTCTACGTCGACGGAAACTGCCTGACGCAAGTATCTGGACTAGAACATCTCCGCCACCTCCGCACCTTCTCCGCGCGCGAACAAATCCTAAACTCGGAATCCGACATGGAAATGTGCGCAAGCAACCTAGTCCGAAACACCGAAGTCCGCAACCTCTATCTCTCCCTCAACCCAACCTACGGGCTACAGATATCTTCACACCTACTAAGTCTGCAACGCCTAGAACTCGCCTCCATGGGCCTAAAAGAACTCCCCGACAACTTCGGCCAGCTAACCCCCAACATCCGCTCCATAAACCTCAACTTCAACTCACTCACCGACCTCCGCCCCCTCCTCAACATCAAGCGCCTCAGCACCCTCCTCCTCGCCGGCAACAAACTCGAGCGCCTACGCGCCAACGCCATGGTCCTCGGCAAGCTCCCCACGCTCTCCACCCTCGACTGGCGCGACAACCCCCTCACCCTCCGCTTCTACGCCCCCACGTGCGAAAACCGCATCCTGTCTCTCCGGCAGAAACCCTCCGACGAGCAACTCACCAACCGCTTTGTATTGCCTGAGGGCGAGGTCGAAGCCGATGTCCAGCACTTGCAGCGATTGGACTATGAGACCCGGATTAGGCGTCGGGTTACCGAGATGATGCTGGCGAATCTTTGTAGGAGTCTGAGGGAGTTGGATGGGCTGCCGTTTGATAAGACGAGGGTGCTTGTTAAGGATGATGTTTGGGAGAGACTGTTGTTTTTGGGCGTTATTCAGAGGAAGAGGGCGGATACGGCGGTTGATGAGGGGAAGTAGGTGGCGCATTAGAATATGTGCATTGAGTTGCGAGGACATGAGAGGTTGATCTGAGAATTGGTGCACGTTTTGCATAAGCGGGAGTTTTGTATGATACTTTCAGGCTGGCTTTGGTCGGTGTTGCGGTCTCATTGTTTTTTCGCAAAGCATTTGGTACTTGAGCATCTTCCAGGCGCATATATATATTTTTGGCCTTGCACGCTTCATTGCGGGATAGCGGGGATTAGACTATTTTAATGATGATATGAGCTGCATTTGGTAATCAAAAATATTCTACTCGATGTAATTGCTCGTCATCTTTGCATAGAGTGACGACGCCATGGCATAGTTACTCAACTCGACTTACCAAACCACCAACGTACACACCCAAAGTTCCTCGCAAAAAGACTTCAACTTCGAGCGCGAGCCCACAAGATAGTTGCTCAACGCTCTAGGGCTGAACTTGGGTGAGGTGATCAGCCATCCCCGCGCTCCACTAAACGACTCCGCTGAGGCCCGTGCGGCTTGCATCAAATCGATCCAGGCCCCGTGACACGTGGGCACCCATAAACGGCCATCACGTTGGGATGATTCCCGTCCATCACACAATCAACAATGGCTTCTACATCTGAAGAAGACAGAGCGGTGCAACTTGCGGACAAGGCAAGTGAGAGCACCAAGTCTGGCGATTTAACCGCTGCAGCCCGGTACCTGCGTGAAGCTAGTACGATCGCACCCGAGCATCCGCGGATCAAAGAGGCATGGCTTGCACTGAAAGAAGAGGAGGGAAAGAGCGAGCTACTGGGCCACTGTCGAGCCTGGGTCCGCAGCAAAGACGAACACGATGGCGAAAAGGCACTCAAAGCAATCCGGACCCATGGCCTGAAGCAAGATGAAGCGGAACAAGCAATGGCCATCCTCTTTGACTTCAAAGGCGAAGACGACGTCTTAGATCAGGTCTCAGGCGAACTACTCCAGAACCCTGGAGCCCAGATGTGGGTCGCCAAAGCCATCCGCGAGCAGCCGACACGCATCTACTACGAGATGTTCGAGCGGGGCGACGACTCCATCGACGGCTTACTCAAAGTCTGTCTCAACCGGACGGTGTGGCCCGACGACGAATCATTCAAGACGGGGCATAGGGATATCTTCATGCTCAGTTTGGCGATGATGATGGAGGAGGCGCTTGAGCATCCTGAGCGTGCGATGAAGGGGATTGCGCAACTGCTTGCTCATTACGCGGAACATCTTAAGGGCATTATCGATGCGGACAGTTTCGATGTTATCCTCACGTCGCTGGATATTCGACTTCCTGCTAGTCTGCGTAGTCAGGCTACTCTGGCCAGCATCAAGTTGTTTGAGCTTGCGCCGGAGACTGCTAGCGAGTTGATCTCGAAGTTTGTCACGCACAGGACGAAGAAGGGGGAGGCGAACGATCTGGTCATCGCTTTTTCGGCGGCTGCAGCTATCTTTCCGGTCGCTGTCACTGCTGCTGCTGCGCTCTTCCTCACGGATGGCTTTGTCAGCACGTTGGTGTCAAGAGTCCAGAGCAAGAAGTCGCACAACCTTGAGCAGGCCACTCTAGAGTTAATCAGCGCTGCCTGTGTCGACAAGAACTGTCGAGAGGCGATCAGCAAAAACTGCCGAGAATGGCTGGAGGACGTGGTCGCAGAAAGCCAGAACAAGAAGCGTGCCAACTTAGCCGCGCTTGTCCTCGTCAAGCTAGGCGAAGAGCAACCGTCAGAGGATGCACCAAGAATCGTGAGGGCAGAAAAGGTAGACCAAAGCGACCTAATCGCCAGCTTCAAGTCAATGGTCATAGGCGGCGACACATCCTCAAAGCAAGACTCAGTCGAAGGACTCGCCTACGCCTCGCTCCAACCCAAAGTACGAGAGGATCTTTCCAAGTCGCCAAAGTTCCTCAAACGCCTTATCGAAACCATGAGCGACCCCTCCTCACCCAAGAACATCGTATTCGGCGGCCTCACCATCTTCGTCAACATCACACAATACCTGCCCCTACAATCCGAAGAGGAAAAGCGCATGGCACAACTCAAAGCCTACGCCAACGTGCAAAAGCCATCGACCCCCCACGTCCTCCTCAACGACGAAGACGTTGCCATACGCTGCAAACGCGTACTTGACGCAGGCGTCGTCCCCCTTCTAGTGCAAGTCTGCAAAAAAGGCTCCCCATCCATCCTCACCCAAAGCAGTCTAATCTTGCTCGCCCTCTCCAAAGACACAAAGTCCCGCGGCACCATGGCACAACAAGGCGCGGTCAAACTGCTCATCCAGATCTACGACCACATCTCCTCCACAAACGACCTCTCAACAACCGGCACCACGCCCTTCCCCCCCGCCGCCCTCCCCACAACAGCCCAAGCCCTCTCCCGGCTCCTCATCAGCATAAACCCGTCCCACGCTTTCAACGCCGCACTACCCAGCGCATCAGCCATCCGCCCCCTCCTCAGCCAACTCACACGGACAGAGTCTACGACCTGGCAACTGCACGCCTTTGAAGCGCTCCTCGCACTCACGAACCTCGCTTCTCTGGATAGGAATACGCAGGACCATATCATCCGCCAGTCTTTCGACACGGTGGTTGATGATTTGTTGCTTAGTTCAAACACGATGATTCGGCGTGCGGCTACGGAGTTGCTGTGTAACCTCATGGCTTCACCTGTTTGCATCTCCAACTTTGCGGATGGATCGCCGCGGGCGAAACATAGACTCCATCTTCTGCTTGCTATGACGGACGTCGACGACGCTGCAACACGATCAGCGGCTGGAGGTGCGCTAGCGATGTTGCTGAGTGTGGATCTTGCGGTTCTCGAGTTTCTAAAGCAGGATAAGAGTGTGGAGTGGCTTGTGGGGTTGTGCAAAGACGAGGATGAGGGGATTAGATATCGGGGGATTGTTTGTCTAAGGAGTGTGGTGGATGTTGAGGAGGGGGTGGAGGTTTGTAAGAAGAAGGGTGTGGTGGAGGAGTTGAAGGGGGTTTTGCAGGGGAGTAGGAGTCAGGAGGTGCTGGGTGTGGGGGTGGAGACTATGAAGATATTGTTGGGGCAGTAGGTTGGGGTGTGTGATGGAAAGATGCGATGACTGCAAAAGAATGCTTACACATCCGAAGTCCATTGTGAGAAGACTCGAAGCTTGAGCGCGAAGCCCGGAAGACTCAAAAGAATGCCATTTGTAATTTCTTAGTCAAGAAGATATTCGTGTTCTTCGGGGTTCTCACGCTACGGGAACTCAGCCCGCTTCTTCCCGTTCATCGGTCTTCCCAGCTTTATCGTTCTATTGCAGAGGCCACTCGCTCCGCATGGCTACAAGAGGTCTTGTCGCATCCGCATGCTCATTTGGTAGCGAGATACTTGTTCTAGTTGCATGCATTGCGATGACTGTGAGTGGCTCGTCATCCAAGGGTCCTCACTGATGCGTACCGTGGTCGCTTCTAGTTTCTAGTCATACTCGCTCTGCGAACCACGTCTCTCTGCATCTATGTGACTCACAATCTGATGTTGCCCACATCACTTTATTTTATTCTGAGAGGTAGCAACATCGCCGTAAACCTAAACTTGAATATTATCTGACACTACAACACCACAGATTTGCATACTTACCTAACACTATCCGCCATCGAAACTTTGTCATGGCCCACCAGCGAGAGCACAAGATGCCCAAATTGAAGAAGAAACAGAAACGGGGGCTTCAGGCGCGAGAAGCGTTGTTCAGTTTTGAAATAGAACAAGAAGAAGAGATGTTGGAGATAGAGCATTACGACTCATCAAGCGACTCAGAATCATCAGAAACTGATGTTGATGCGCCCATGGACGTCCTAAACCTTGCTAGGTTTGCGTCACCAGCTACCACCGAGACGAAAATGTGGTTATCTCTGACTGCCTACATCCAACTCAACAAGTTACTAGGGGCAGCAAAGAGAGCGAGCGATCATCATTTCGATACATGGTCGAACGCAAAGACATTGGAGAGGACGTATGAAATGGCACAGGACGAATGGGAGAAAGCAATCGAGCAACAGTACCAAACCTGGCACATCGACATCACCAACAAGCTTAGCGCAGAGATCGACGCCCATTCCTTCTCTACACGACAATGGCAGATAAACGAAGAGCATGGAAACATATTGAAGTCCGATACACTGTCTTTGATAGTGCAAGCCGAGACAGCTACCGCCAACCTCAGAAAGCTACTGGTCATACTGCGAGACTTCAAAAATCAGATGAAAGGAGAATACATCAATGCATATGAGCATACCGATGCCACTGATTTGGCGTATATCAACTCCATGATCCAGCGCTTGACTAAGCCCTACCAGTCACCACAAGTCCATAAGTCATGGTACAAAGGCCCCGACGGCCGCGATGTCGATGCGCCAGAGAGGTTTGACAAAGACGTCAGTGAATACTATGGCAGCAACATCACTGATCGTTTTGAATCGTTCGTCGGTGGATTCTGGTGCCCTATCGCGCGGCAACAGTCACAAGCACATCCGTGGCCACATGACAGCCAGGCTGTCCATCTAGTGCACTACAACACGGGCGATCACGTTTGCGATTACATCTTCGGCAAAACAGACAGTACATACGGCCACTTGATGGAACCATCCAACGGCCTCTTGCTTTACCGTGATTTCAAGGGTATGCTCAACAGAGCTCAGATCATCATCGTTCCTGCCCGCATAGGCGATACCGACCCCGAGACCGGCAAGACAGTAAAAGAAACGGATAAGGAACCGTATAAGATACGAGTGCTAGACCCAGAGTTGAGGAATAGGGATCGCAACTGGGAACAAAAGGAATGGCCTGTCGCCTACACACAGCTCGACGGAAGGATTCTGGAATTTGCAAACGACAACCGGCCGAAGAAAATGTACCTATGGTATCGTGCCGTCATGAATATTGCGGTGCGACATAGACTCCAGGCGCCCGGCTGGGAGGGAGATGTAGAAGCCCTAGGACAGAACTCATGGTGCGCGCCCGGTGAATCGCTCCGGCGATCTACTATGACTGCGATTCTAAAGCACGTTGGCTTCATCGATGACCCCGAGCCTATCTTCGCGCTAGGACCCACATTGAAGGGCCCCCCCGAGGAAGCTACAAACGATAGATCCATCGCCGATCGAGTGGCCATGATACTGGATACAACGCATACAAGCTGGCTTAAATCCCGTCGCAGTGCTTTCGCGAGTATGCATGCAGGGAAAGAGGTGGAGATCGATTGGGAAGACGAGGCGCAGGAGCAACACCATAAATTTGCGTCGCGCAAGTTGTGTTTAGACGCGGGTTTTGTGTGAGAAGACGTTGGGTAACTGTGGGAATATAGATAGCTTTGATCTGAATTAAACGAGTACTACTTCAAACTCCTGCCAAATTGCGTATAAAACGGGGTATAACTTCTAAAAGATGCCAACAAACACATACTCCGATACCGCAATGCCGACAGACTCCCTGTGAATGCGCGCCTTGCTCATTCTCCTCCCACCATCTCAACCCAAAACCAGAACCTCATCCTTACGTCGCACCCCCAACAGCAATCTTCTTCTTCACGGCCCTCATCTCCCTAACCGTGCCCTCCTTCCCCAGCCCCCTCCCCACCTCAACAACAATCATCCTAACAAAATCCTTGCTGAGCCAATAACTGCTATGTGCACCCAGCATAGTCAGATACTGTATCTCCAGCGGCCCACCACCATACTTCATATAATAATCAATCTGACCATTATCATTAAGCAAATACGCTCTCTTCTCAGCGATTTCCTCGCGCGTGAAATTGTGCGTTTCGAGCTCGACGTTGCTGGGTAGGCGGATAGTGGTGGGTCTGTCGTTTGCGGCGTTGTTGGCGGAGGAGGTGGACGAGCGGAAGGGGTTAAGCGAGGCGAAGTAGGAGGTTGAGGCGGAGGGGATGGTGGTTTGTTTGAGCATTGAGGCGTAGACGACGTCGACGGTGGGGTTTATGCGGCAGGCGACGGGGTCGTAGGGGTTGATGATGTTGTAGATGTTGTCCACGGCGAGGCAACCATATGTGCCTTGCTCGCCGGCGATACCGGGGGCGGCGTAGGAGTCGGCGCCGGGCTTCTCTTTGTCGCGGCGAGGGAGTAGGTTTGCGTTTTTCATGAGGAGGAAGAGGCCGACAGGGCTGCCGCAGACGAAGAGGTCGGTTGTGTTGAATATGAATTGGTCTTGGGGTAGGTCGGCTTCGGGGAAGGATGGGTCGGTGAATTGGGGATCGACGTAGGTCGGTTGTTGGCTTAAGATGTCAATTGCCATCACTGAACCGAGCGAATGGGCGATCAGATGTACTCGCCCGTACTCTGCGAACCCAGGGTTGTTCTGACACCACAGGCGGTAGATCCGGTTCGCCTCTGTTATGCAAGCTGATATCATCTTGGGGTTGTGCATCGGTGAGAGGTAGTATGGGATGTCGAGCATGACATCGCTAACAATACCACGCACAGACGGCAGCGTATCGGGTGTGATGTCTTTGAGGGTGTATTTGTTCGCAGATGGGTCTTCAAGCTCGGGAGCCTCGGTGTTATCGACGTCAAGGGATACGCGGTGTCGCCAATTAACCTGCCTTGTGTTAGTACATTGATCGAGAATCACTGCAATGATGACTTACTGGCAGACACATGACACCTCCCATATCTTTTCGCAGGTGCCGCTTGACATCCGGAGTCCCAAGCTCGACGTTCATCTCTCTTCGAAAGGCGTTCATCGCGTGCGTGAAATGAAACGTCTCCATTCTTTCCGACAACTTCTGGCCAATACCATGTATGACCAACACCAGGTCTGACACCTTCGGTCGTTCTGACTGCGCGAGGTCGGGGTCCGACTTCTGCCTTCGATACTGTGGCGCGCCGCCTTGCGATGACGAGACACCTTCGCGTGCTGCTTGTGCCTTTGGCGAATTCTTGTTCGGATGTAGCTTGTCCCAGGCGGCCTGGTCGAAACCGCGCACTACGTGGACGCCGATAGCTCTGCCCTTGCGGATGTAGTTCGCCAATGGTCGTCGCCCGTAGTAGTCCGATGGCTGGAGAGCTGGCTTGAGGATGAAAGCTTCCTTGTCGTTAGAGTATATCACACCCGCTTTCAGGTACAGGCGCTTCCTTCCGTCGGCACCGTACTCCAGATCTCCCGCTGCTTTGTGATCTGGTCCCTCTGGACCTGTCGAGATGTCGATCAAGTCGCAGGCATTCTCCACGGTTTCTTTGCGCTCCTTCTCCGGATCATCATCCTCTTCGGGGAGGGTGCTTTGAACGAGACCTGCTGTTTGCATCATCTGTTGCGAAGTTGACGGCCTGCTCTCTGCTCTCTTTGGCCGTTCAGGCCAGAGGTGGTGTAGTATCTTCATCTCGCCGAATGCACCGACTTCAACAGCGCTGTTGAGCTCGTCCGTCCACGTCTGCGTCCAAGGTCTCAGTTCGATGTACCCAGCTTCGAGCATGTTGGCGACTTCGACCTCGACAGGCATCATGCTGTCCTTGTAGAACCACGTTCCTCGCACTATCTGGGCGACGTCGCTGAGCGGCGACCAGTATATAGGCTCCATGCGTATTGACTCCGTGTCCATGACTACGTGATGCAGTCTTGAGACTCCCACGGGCACCTTCGCGGATGGACCAGGTTTCGGCTTGGAGGATCTTCGCGCAGGCGCCTTGTCTTTGGCCGTCGACAGAGCAGGTTCCATGTCGTCATCCCACTTGTAGCTGTCCACTTCGTGTATAGTCGGTCGATGGCCTCCTTCCATAGGCGCAGGCTTCCACGACTTGGCCAGATTCCCTCTCGATGGGGCTCGGATGAACGGGGTGCCGGTCGTCGCAGGCTCGAGGGGCGATATTGGGCCGGGGTCGTAGGCCTTCAGCGAGCCAGACATGGACTGGCCGTAGCTGCCACCACCCGAGCCGGGTGTCTTCTTGTCCACCAGCTCAGCAGACCTCGAGTACTGCCCTCTGCTCGATGACCGGCCAGACGGAATGTCTCGTCCCTGGATCGAGCCTTCCTCGCTCGAAGCACTAGCGCCTCTCTTCCTCTTCAGCCGCTCCACCGCCGGGTTGGTCGGCGTACCGCGTCCCGTCGCATCTTTCTCCCCAAACTCCTCGGTGTGCTTCAGAATCTTCTTCCGCAGCTCCAGCCATGACTCCTGGATGGCTTCGTTGTCATATTCGGAGAAGGGCCGCGGTGGCACTCTCTTCGCAGTCGAGGTGCCCGTGGGCGGCGGCGGGAGCGGAGACAGCGGGTCGTCTATAGCGAGCGGCGACGTGTAGAAGTAGCGGACGGGTATCGTGGGCGGGGCTTCGGTGTTGTGCAGGACCTCACGAACGTACTGGTTCGCGCGAGACGATAGTGTGGGCTCGTTGCCTGCCATGACGTCTGGCGTGGTTTGGTGTGGGCGTGAGCTGCAACTTTCAAGAGAAGCAGTCGTGGAAGAATCCCATCATATCATGGTGCTAGCGTGTGTTCTTTCCCTCACGTGTTTGTGTGAAGAAGACAGCTGGCATGGACGCGGTGGCAGCCTGAGGATGGGTGTTGTTCCTTGTTGTTCTAGGGCGGTATATTTCCGATCAGCTTTCGGAGCACTGACGCAACCGCCGCGCTAAAACCGACGCGTGCCTCGACATGTGAACAGCCCTCTGTCAGCCGCCTCACCCACCAAACTTATACACAGAACATCCAAGTTTGCGCGAAATTACGCCGAACCATTCGATGTGGCATGTGCTCCAAGCTGTGCACGCAAAGTCCATACCGTTATTTCACAATGCCAACGATTCATAGGCATTAACCCATACTATACATCGTGACCTTACCTGGATTTGGATATGGCACCGCATAAGTATTTTCAAGCAAACTTTCTCATTAACTCTCAAGCAAACTACTACGTTCACAGCAGTCTGATACAGGATTCACACTAGACCACCACCATGTCACTAACGGCCACCATGACCATATCATCAAGAAAGGTACGCAACCAGCGTAACACGCTGTGCGTGTATACCCCCAAACCGCTACCCTCTCCTCAACCTTTCGTAGATTCGCCAAGAAAGCTGGGCAACACGCTGTGCGTATCCACTCCCAAACCGCTACCATCTCCCCATCCCTTGGTAAGCGCCTTCGACGAACCACCAAGAAAGCTAGGCACGTATGCTCCAAAGCCTTCACCACCACCCCCATCATCTCCCGGACCTCTCGTAGGCGTCCTCAACGAGCTCACTGAATACTACGATAGCGAAATTGCGGCGTGGGAAGCCAAATGTAATGAACAACAAGCCTGGCTGGACCAGGCTTCCGAACTCATCGCCGAGTATGAAGAAGAAAGAATTGCTGGGATGGAGCATATCGGCTTCCTGACCAAGTGTCTGTACGCGAACGAAAGAGCCCTGACCCAGTGTTTATACGCTATAACGGTAATAGTAACGGTACTGCTGGTACGCTGAAACTACCAAGTAGAGGAAATGTCCGAAGGGAGAAGATATCCAAAGTCACTACTGCTGTTACCGTTGGGCAATATCTCAACCCGAGAATAGCTAAAACAGTGGAACGCGACCTTGACAGTTAGTAGGTGAATGCCTATACCGCGCTACCGGAGACGACGCGCTTTTTCTCTCTGGCACCGCCAAAGGAGCCAAGTATTGCGAAACTGCGCATACAGCAGAGGAGCATCTCGGCCACCGGGTTGTGGATGAGCTGAGATCACGACAGGTTCGTGGCCAGCTCCGAGACACGATTGTCGTGGTCTTCGAGACTAAGGCTGTAGAAGGGGAAAGGTGATGACCAGGAGACGAGGTCTCGGGTGAAAGAAGTCCAGTCTGGTGGTACATGGGCGGGCCCATATATGTAACACTTTGGAGACTAGAGTAAGGGCTGAGCCCAGGGAAGGTACGAAGGTATCGTCGGACTAGTATGAGATATAACTTGGATTGCCTCAGGCGAAGATAAATATGACGATTCATGATGATATAAATTATGGGTATCTTTGTTACTCGCACACGTACTTTTGCCTCCAACTCCCAACTCCCAAATACATAAAAAAAAAACCTCATCTCACCTCCTCATCTGATTCCGCCATCCCAGCCCCGCCGCCCCTCTCGCGGCTAACCACTGATTCTCCGCCTTTCCACCCCATCTCCCAAGCAACGCTCCAACATCTACCTCCAACTCCCTCCACAGCGCCTGCTCCACCTCCACCCTGAACTCCTTATCTTGACCATGACTCCCCAGTAGCACAATCTTGCCCGGCGGCACACCCAATCCGGCAACAGCGTGAACAACAGCTTCCTGCAGCTTCGCCCAGAACTTTGCGCGGGGGGCGTCGTAGACGGGGAGACTCCACCAACCGAGATCGTTTCGCGCGACGTAGTTGATCATGTGGGAGTGTGGGGTTGGTGTTTTGGTCTTGGTGGGGGAGCAGCTGGTTTCGTGCATGCTTGCGCTGAAGGAACTGGAGTCGAAGGCCAGAACGAGGATGTGTTGATGTTGGTGGGGGAGTGTTGCGGAAGCGCATGTTGCGTGTTCTAATCCGGCGTGTGTGGCATATGCTTCCGAGTATATCGAAGGGGTATCCTCCGATAGAGCGAGGCCGGCTGATAGTAAAGCGTTTTCAAAGTCCTTCTCATGGGATCCGTAGAAAGGGAATGTGACGGCCGATGTGATATTTGTGATTGGGTGTTTGAGTTTATTTTCGAGGGTTGCGTGGACTTTTGATAGGAATTCTGTGAGGATTCTGCTGTCGTTTGGAGAATTTGATGAAGTGTGTGGTGTCATCCACCGCGACATTAGGTCTATGTATTCGGCATCTCCGGGGATTTGGGCCACGTCGATTGTTGTGCCGTTTGCGTACCGCGCAGCTGCTACTGCTTGTGATGTTGTGAAATGGACGCCGATGCTGGGAGGCGCATCAAGTGCTTCCGCGCTAGTGTGTTTGTCGAGGGGTTCTTCGACAATGGGTATTTGGTGGTGGTATCGTACAGCTCGTGCACTAGCCAAAGGCACAAGCAGAAGAAGAGCGAAGAGTTTCATTTTGAAGTCGTGAGATGAAGATTGTTTACAAAGAAAGAAGAGAGCGTAAGGAACCCGGCTACAATAAAGAGCGGACCCGAGTATTCGTAGGATCAGGTGCAGAAAGAAAGGATGGCACAGCGTGAAAGAGCGACGGTGGTGAGTAAGAAGTGGTGGGTGAAGAAGCGGCAACGACAACGGCGGTACGCTCGTCGTCCCCTCACTCCATCAACGGGGCGACTCCCGACGCCTTATAGGAGTCGTCCAAAGACATCCGATCGTACCGTCAAGGCAAAGAGGATCCGAGGTTCTGGTCAGGGACTTGTGGATCCGCCCACTGTTCCGTGGGCACTAGGGGTATACGAGCTAGCCCGGCGTGCGATCGGTCCAACCTAATGGCTTCAAAGAACCCCTCTCCGGGTCCCATGCAGGACAAAAAACGCGTTCCGGGGTCTCGGTCACCGTCTCTTGACCCCTCCGTTGGCACTCAGCATCTCGGACAGCGAGCGAGCGTGGGCGCGTAACAGCTGTTGTGAAGCTGTTGGAAGCGCGCGGTGGCCCAGGTGTCAGTCGGCAAGGGACCGAAAATAGAAACTCGCCCAGACCCGGCACGCTCGGCACTACTAGAAGCTTGTCCTACCCCTCTCTCGTACTTTTCGCTCCTAGCTATGCGCAGAACAAGACTCGGGCGAGCCTTGGCACATGTATTGATTGCTCATATCTTCTCCGCAAACGGTTCGAGGTCGAGTCAACTACCTGCCGTCTCATCGCGTGCGCGATTGCGATACGAAGGGGCGCTAGAGGACCCTGACATGCGCGTGATACTCGCGTTATACGGAGCAGATACGCTGCATCAAGATTTTTGTATAACATTAGGTGCAGGTATCGTGAGTCTAGGTGCCTCTTATGAGTAAAATCGAGGAGCGTGGTAAGGCCCAACGTCTGCTCGAGCATGTGCAGGAAAGGTTCTTCGCAACTATCGATAGGCGTCCTGCCGTTACTGCCACCATTGTGTGGCGCATGTTAAACCCGACAGCGGGACGCGTTCCGTTAGCTGCTCTCACGCGTCGTTCAAAGCAGAAGGTACAAAGGAGCTCATTCCGTCTGAGCCGTACTGACTATTGAAAGCGCGAAAAGGATACGACCGGTGAACTTCATGCAATGTGCAGAGGTCATGCTTCAACATTGACACACCCTGAAAGCAGACGTTCACGTTAACCTAGTACTACGCAGGGTGCTCATCTTCAGGAGTTCATGTCTAGAGAGTTCTCTCCTTTGAATGAACCTGATAACTCGAGAGGAGCACGTAAGCAAAGCGCATCAACATTTCTTCTTCCTCAAGATCCTCGCAAGCGAAGATACCCAATGAAAAAAAAAATAGTCGCGCCAGCCAGAAGTAGTGCAAGATACTGGCGGCACCGTAACCTCGAGGTATGAGCGAGCTCAGGGACCTTGTGGTCGAACTACAAAAATAAGAGTAATGGATGATCCGCCAGTAGCGGAATCATAGTTATTACACTATGAAGAACAGATACTACACTTTGATCTAAGCCAGATTGGCAAAGAGAGCTGGTGAGCAGCTGAGGGACGGGGGATGGGGGGGTTTATATAGACGATGAGGGTGGGTCGTGCGGAGTTAGGCGGGCGCACGTGAGACTGCTGCCTGGCCGGGGGGTTGCACTGCTGCGCACGTGTTGCGCTGTTGCCTACACTTGCACATGTGGGAACTCACAGCTCGGGAGCGTGTCGCTTGCTTGTTGCCGTCTTTGCTGGTACAGAGGAAAAGGTATGACAGCGAGTCTGGATGGAATGTCTTATGTATACGACGGGAAAGGAACCGACAGCGACGCACCTCAAAGCTACCACGATCATTCCGCATCTCAAAGTGACATCAACAGCCAGCGCAAACTACAACCATGTCCCAGTCTGAGTCAAAGGCTCATGCTTTTCTTCGTCGACAAAGGGCCTAGGCAGAGATCAAACTCTACCCAGATAGTTCGATACGTCATTCACGGTCGGCATGCTTCCGCCACTCTTCTCACTACCGGAATAACCATGTATACCCCGGCATGCCCCACTGTCCACACGTCCTATCTCCGCGTCTACATTCCCATCCTCCAACAGAGTAATCGGGTACTCGTCATGCTCATCTCCAATCTTGTTCCTCAGCTTAGAGCCCCCACCGATAGTTGCAGGATGGCTCACTTCGTCCGAAGGGCTGACTCTGTTGGCAGACCACAAACGGGTAGGAGATATCAGTCTGAGGAGCGGGCGGAGAGTCATGATGCAGCAGTTGATGATGGCTACAGCAGGCTCGGCGACGGACCAGAAAGCCGCGTCGGTCATTGCGTAGGGCAAATTTTTAGTGTTGCCTGCGGTATGAAGGAGGTCGAAGATAACGACGATACGAAGGATGGAAATGGCCGTAACACTACGATTCAGATTAGCTGACATGAGCTAGGCAAGCAACTCCAAGAGTTTCGTACAGTAGACCTATTGCAAAGATCGCCACCAAGCCGATCTTGGCACCACGAGTCATTTGTAGTTTCCGGATGAATGGTATGGGCAACAGGATGATGATCAGATCGGTTATCATGTTGAAGATGCCAGTCGCAACGAATGCCGTGCTGTGTTTGTGATCCGGGCAGTACTTTTTGGCCAAAAGAGGGTTCCAGTTCGCTTCGAGAGGCGTACACAAAAGAAAAGTCGCAAGCATGCTACCGAGCCAGTACGCTACGACCAAGCCCATGCATGTCCAAACCCAGATACGATGTTCCTTTAGTGTGAAAAAGCGTAGGTAGAACAAAAGGTAGGATAGCTTGACGCTGGAGACGGCGGCGTAGTACACAGCTTGGAAAGCTATGAGCAGCTTAGCTAGAAAGATGCTGTTGGCAATGGGTAGTTCTTTGGTCTGGTATCCCATCCCGTAATTCGCATCTGTGATGTGCATTGCGAGCATGCCTGCGTTGCTGGTTAGTGTCCCGGTCCAACGGTATGGTATCGCATCGCATGGGCGATGCGCCCTGACCGGCTTGTACGTACCGATAGTGAATATCAGTGAAACCACTGCGGCAAAGTCATCCCACCTACAGCTTTGTCAGATCATGTGACCTTTGGCAGACATTGTCACTCCTCACATACCATATCTTAGTCCCGCAGATTCGCCTCGTGATGAACCGCAACACAACGAGTATGGTAGCAAAACCGACGAGGGAGATGTTCGCAGCCAAGTGCCTTGTGACGAGATCGGAGTGGAAGATGTTCGTTTTCGTCAATGGATCAAAGGGTAGCATGTTGGCAAACGAATATGGTGTTCTAGATAGTCTTGGGAAGATACGGGACGAGATGCTGTTATTTGAGAACTGATTGTTGTTTGATATAGCAGAATCATCTCGCCCCCGCATGCGTTCAATAACCCGACAGGGTAGATGGTGTGGTTGGAAAACGCCATGGCGTTGGCTCAAACCATTCGCAATGTGGCGAGCGTAATGGCATACTACCTCATACGGCCCCGAGGGGCTATGCGCAAGGCAGAGAATCTGTCGCTGCGCAGTTTATGCGACATATCCCCATGCTTATGTCAAACAACAAGATCTTTTACGGAGGTGGATGCACGTCAGGATTCAATAAGCAGGTGTATTTTTCTGAGAGACAAGAGACGAATCGCTATCGAGCTACGATAGCGATTGTCGGGTGTATATGCCTAGGTCGAGTCAGCTCGGGCTTGTTTAGGCTAGGGTAGAAAGCTTGTCCTGAGAGGACTGCATTTCGCATATTAGTTGACAGCCCCATTCAGCTGGCAATCTCATGTCAGCTTACAGTTTCAAGCTTGCCTACTCCATGCTTTCATGACGTCTTTCCCTGCGGAGCGGTCTGTTCAGCGAATTGTACGATCAATAATAATAGGACGGGCATTCTGCAGAGAGTTGTGTCACCAAAGGCCACCGGAATTGCACCAAGCACTGTTGTCGAAAAGGCTGTGAAGGGTGCGTTGCGGCATTGGTTGAAGACCATGCCCCGCAGTCGCGCACGCGAGCGGTACCGTAACATTCGTCGGATCTTGCGTGCAATCTTGAAGCTTCGTCAAAGAAAGTCGTGCGGGTCTTTATTGTGCGGATGTAATTACATTGTGTTGCCAGGTAGATGCAGCGGTACCTAGATGCGTGGAATGAAAAGTGAGCCGCTTGCTATCGCGTCGACTAAACACGAGAACATAGTAACTGGAGCACTTCTGCTTTGGCTAGAGACGTTTTGAGGCTGCAGTGGAGCGCGGGCGGGACCGGGTGCTGAGCCTGCAAAGCTTTCCGGCTCCGCGCCCTCACCTGGAGGGATACTAGCCGCGTCTTTCGCGCTCTGTCTGCTATTATCAAGCAAGCAGGTGGATATTTTGCGAGTTCGCAACAAGATAGGCGCTCGGCATACCGTTGAGGACCCGCATACCCCGGCCCGCAGCCTTAGTGCCCCCCAATCATCGCTTGCCGTCTGCCGAGGGAGCAGCCGCCCGTTGCGTGTTGAGACCACGATGAATCCAGATCAATAGTCCTTTCTCTTTTGAGAAGGTCGTCAGTCCTATGGCGGGACAGTCGCTTAGGCTTTCGCTTTGTACTGCGATGGTCGCACAGCGTCTCCCTTGTGCCACCATAAGCACACAGATTTACCAATAGACAGCATGCACATCGGTTGCGTTACATCTATCGATGCGCTTTCCACGAGAGAGCCCGACTTCATCGTCATTGGCGGCGGTATCGGCGGGTTGGTGGTTGCCAATCGCCTGAGCGAGGATGCAGACAAGAGCGTGCTATTGATCGAAGCTGGCGCCAACCGACAAGGAGACCCCAAGATCGACACTGTTGGTATACTATCAACGCTTTATGGCGATCCTGACTACGATTGGGACTTCATGTCTGAGCCTCAGGTGAGTCCAGCGGCACGATGCCATGTTGCCGTTAAAGAGAACATCGAACTCAACTGACAATCGGGCTTGTAAGACACGCGTCAACGGTCGCCAGATCCCGCATCCC